CCCGGCCCGCCAGGCGTGGTCGGGCCCCCATGGTCCCCGCTGGTTTGAATGCAAAGATCGGGCTTTGTGGGCACCCGGCCCCCACCCCTGGCGTGCCCCCCACTGCCCAGCCCCTCCCCCCAGACTCCCGCGCCGTCCCCTGCCCTCATTAGCATAGCAGCTGCTCGCCGAGCGGGACGGCGCGGAGGAAAGGGCAGAGGCCTCGGGAATGAATGGGGCCATGGCTTTGCAGGGGCGGGAGAAGAAAGACCGACAGACGGACCCGCGGAGGGACGGTCGGAAGGACAGCCAAGCAGAAGAAAGCGGTGGACGGGGCGGGGGGATGGCTGGTGGAGGCTGAGTGTGCGGGAGATGGGGAGACGGCCTCCCAGGGACCCCCAAGCCCCAGGAGGGTCTGCGCTGGCGGAGGAAGGAGCAGTTGCGGATGTTAGGCCTGCGCCCTCACATTCCGCCTCAGGCTTTGTTCCCCAGCTGTCCGGGCCTCCTTTCCTGGCCTTCAAGGCCCAGGTGGATGTGGCCTCCTCCCGGCAACCTCTGCTGGGCATCAGGAGGCAGCTGGCCTCCCTCGAGGTCAGAGGGCAGTCTGTGCACCGCGTTCTTGTGTGCAGGCGCTTCCGTCCTTCCGTGTGCTGGGTTGCAAGGCCTCTGGCGGACAGACCCCAGCAGGCAGCACCTTCTCTCCCTTCCCTGTCTGCACCTGGTCTCCTGGCTTCTAAATCCTGCCCCCGGTCCTCTGGCCAGCTGCGTCCTGGCTCTTTCTAGCTGACCATCCTCCTGCATTTCCTGGTCTCTCTACAGCATCTGCGTCCATCCGTTCCAGCAGTAAATGCTTCCTGCGTCCAGCTGAGGTCAGATCAGAGAGACAGACAGTTGGACAGTTGGATGGGAGCCCAGCTCCCTCCTGGCAAGGAAGTGGGGCAGGCCCTGACCTTGCCTGGTCTGTCTCCTTTCTCTCAGGAGTTCCCAGTGGCCCAGTCCCCTGCCTGCGGCCCCCTCCACCCTGGGTCTCTTCCGTGCTTCCTGGCTGGGACCCTCACCTGGCTTCCAGTGCACACCTGCAGATGGGGCAGGCAGGGCAGAGGGTGCAGGCTGGGTCACCTATGCCTTCTTTCTTGCCCTGGCCACAAAGGGGCCAGCCTGGGGAGGGGTGGCAGGGACCCCCCAGCAACCCCATTGGGCAATATTTGCCAATACTTGCTAACTCCCCCCACAGTGAGCAATTCAGTGCACACACAGCTCCTGCAGCAAGAGCCTGCGCAGTGCACTGGACTTGAGGGACACGATCTGTGCAGTGCACGGCAGCTCTGACCTGGACACATCCAGAGAGCAGAGCCTTCCTCCCCTGCTCTTGCACAAAGGCAAGCATGTGGCCATTCTCGGCCCACACTGATCAGCCGGCCTCCTGCTGCACGGAGTTGCACGTTCTAGGAATGTGCTGCTCGGGGTCTCCCCAAGGACAAGGCTGTGGGCGGTGCCCAGCACCCCCAGCCAGTCCTCCTCTCCTCTGAAGCCCTGGGCGCTCCCAGCTGGGATTTCCTTTATAACTCCGACTGCATGAGGTGTCAGGGCGATTGTGGTTTCAGAGTGTGTGTCTACCTGCCTCCTAGGGCTCTGCCCGGTGAAGAAGGGGGGCCATGTGTCCTTGGCCACACCGCTGTCCTTCACCAGACTTGTCAGTGCACACAACACCTGGGGAGAAAGCAGCTTCCAGCAGCGAGGCCACCTGGCTCGGCCTCCCTTTTGTTCACACTGGAGAGAAAACTGTCTCCCCAGAGAGCAGCACGAGGCCTTTCTCCATCAAATGTGCCCCGCAGAAGAGAGAACCTAAGGGAGCTGAAAATCGTCCCCTGGGGTTGCAGCCACGTGCCCGAGAAGCCAACAGTGCCAGGCCATGCCTCTCCACAGTGGCAGAATGTCAGGGATACTGCAGGGGCAGCCACCGGCTGGGGCTAACGCCAAGAACAAATGCACCTTTGGGTTTTCGGGCAGCTTCCACGTAGGGGTGCCGGGGTGGGAAACGAGGGCATGGCCAGCACACCCCAGGCACCAGATAATGCCATGGCCTAATTCTCGAGATGCCCCAGTAACGCCCAAGTTCCTGAAGCCCCTTTTCCCGGCTGGGCCTCCCAAGGCCTGCTGCAGGGGGTTGGGCACAGTCTTCCAAGTCTCCTAGCCGGTTCTGTGGGACAGGAAATGCTTGTTTAACCCACTGAAGGTGAGCCTGGAAAACCGTCCAGGGTAGACGAGGGAGGAGATGCAAAGTAGGAGCATGAAGAGCTTGGCTGGGTGGGGGCAGCTTTGGCTGGGACGGAGTGCACTGATGCCCCTGGGTGCTCTGCAGGCAGCATGGGAAGTCCTTACCTTGTAACTCAGTCTGCCTTTCTCCAAGTCCTCTTTGCAGGCTGCCACTGCTGGGGGCAGGAGTCCTCCCCTGCACCTCCCAGGCAGGGCCCCAGGGCCCCGAGGGTGTTTCAGGAGTGGGCCACGAGTCTCTGCTCCTTTCCCTTAGGTACCAAAACAGACACCTGCTCCGCTCTCCTGGCAAGTGGGAACGCTCAGGTCTAGCTCAGGGCCTGCGCTGGCTTCCAGGGCTCCCACACTCCGCCGGGGGCCTTTTGCTCCTCAGGCGTGAGCAACTATGTTTCCCCCAAATTAAAAAAATACCTCACTGTGCAGCAGGTGCACATCTCTGTCCAGCATGGACCCGTAGCAGCATGGGGGACATGGGAGAGGGACCTGGTCCCTCAGAGGACTTCAGGGTCTCAGGCTGGGTGCACGGCGGGAAGAGCTGCAAGCAGGACTTCCCACACGGAGATCTCAGCTGCTTTGCCAGGGAATGGAGAACACAGGCTATGACACCAGCTCTGGGTGTGCTCGAGGTGGCCGGGGCAGCCCTGGGTCCTCACAAGTCCCGCACACAGCCGAGTTGGATTTGGCAGTTGCACGGGCTGCAGCCAGTTTACCGGGCTCTGTCGCCAGGTGAGCACAAGCCCAGCGTTGTGTAGACATCACCCACAAACGGCGTGTTGCAGCCTCGTCCCCAAAGGGTGTTCTACAGCTTGTGCCAAGACCAAGAAGGACCAAAAAGCTTTCTTAATACAAAAAGATCAATGAAAAATTTATTTATAAATTTTTCATGCTGGGCTACAAGTCTCTATCGTACACTCAGGAATGTGCTGCACAGACTTATCCAGTTAGAAGTGATCATACCGTGACCCATACACAGCTTTGATATAAGCCTAGAAAGTCTTAACATTAATTAACATAATTAAAAAGGTATTTGCATCTAGAAAAAATATACAGAAGAACTCCTTTTGGAGTAATCTGTGCCTCAGTTTCAATGTCTGCTTGTTTCACTGACATTATCAATATATTCTTCTCACACACAGTTTTACAAAAAGCCACAGATGACTGCGAGTGTGACCAGCCACGCACAAAGGGCCTCCACCCACCTGTGTCCTCAAGTGCTCCCCATTTTTGCACGAAGGGTCAGCAGCACTTCTACGAAGGGGAAACCTCATTTAAATTTGAATAATTCAGCCTCCCTTTTATTTGTCAGGATCAAAACAACGAGGGGTGTGGGATTGCATAGAAAATTGGAACCACAGAAACCAGGAAGGGCGCCTTTCAGGACAGAAAGTGACGCAGGAGCGCCTCCCCCGGCCCAGGTCTCGGCGCAGCCCCTCCCCCTCAGCAGGACTTTCGGATTCGAATCGAGTCCCCAAGCTCCGGGAGGCCGAAGAGGGTCAAACGGTCCTTCAGTTCGCTCAGCAATTAGCACAAGAGATTCACAGTCTTATAGGCATTTTATAAAAATATAAATATGGGTACACTCTGTTGCCTTCACAACGCTGGATACAACGCCCTTTAAAATTGGGTTTATAACCAAGATTCAAAAAATACACCTAAAACTTGGCTTAAAATATGTTAATATTTCATATTCTGTCATAAATGTTATGACATTTAATCGTGGCAAATCCATTTACTTTTTAAAAAAGTGTGCAACCGACTGTTACC